GCTTCCTGGCTGCCACAAGGTGAGTAGATTCACTTTGTCGTACCCTCACTTTTGTGGTGTTCTGCCTTTACCACAGGCCCAAAGTAATGCAGCCAAGCAAACATGAACTGGAACTTCTGAAACTGTCAACCAAAATAAATATTTCCTCCTTTTAAGTAGTTTTCTTAGGTAGTTTGTCACCCCAATGGAAAGCTGGCTAACACAGAGCTATTGCTCACTTTCCTGCCTGTTGGTCATTTCTGGAAGGTCTGCCCTCCTCTCACCCCTTGAAAGGATGGTCCTCTCTTCCTACAGGTGTTGGGAAAAGAATGTTGTATAGTCACTATTTTCCTTTTGCATGGTTTCTTTATTATCTGGGACCCTACTGCTTCTAATCCATCTGGATTTAGCAATCTTCACCAGGGCTTTGAAGGATGTCACATGTTAGTTTCTCCAGAAGCAGATGCTGACTTAGCATGTGACATATTTATTAGGGATCAACAGCTGGGAAAGAAGGGGTCGAAAGAAGATTTGGCAAAGAAAGAAACTGAACTGTGATGTAGGCCTCACAAACCTTAAATCAGGTGGGAGGTCTAGAATGGGTGAAGATCATCAGAGCATCTGTGTCAGGCTGATATGGCTGGTCTTTGTGTCTCACTATATCACTGACCTCAGGAAGGGTATAACCTTGGGTAAAGAGGCTTTCTGCAATTGAGGCAGATTTGAAAGGTTTAACAGTTGCAGACTGGCTTCTTATTGCACTCCCCTCAGTTGGGCAGCAAGTCCTTCCTTTAATGAGGGTCTAGGTGGCACATTTGTGTTCTATCACTGAGGAGTTGATGGGAATCACAGTGTAAACTGCATGATAAACAAGATTGTTCAAAGGGAAAGTACTAAAGATAACTAAACTAATAGGGAGGGTATTCCCAGGAGGACATGCCCTGATTCACATCTTTTATATTTAGAATAAATGTAAATCCTTTGGATTTCACTAAAAATAATAATGACATTGGGGACTGTTAGCTGCTGCCAATAAAATCTTAACAGTGCTCTTCTGCTTTGCTTCTGTCCATTCCTTACTCCCTTTTCTGAGGCTTACAGTTTTAATTCTATTAAAAAATGCTACTTAGAGAAAATAAAATACAGTTAGAGAAAACAATGTGGCAAACACATTTGTAACCACTCCTGGGTCAAAATATAGAACTTCGACCTTTTTCATGAACTTAAAATTGATCATAGATTGTAGTAACAACCATTTTTTAAGAATAATAGCAATAATAATGATTTTAAATTCTATAATTACTTTTATTAACATTACTTTTGCTGCTGCTGCTGCCTGCTAGTATTACTGCCTAACACTGGAGCACATATCATGTGCCAAGCATTTATATTATTTCAAATCATTCTCACATCTCTGTTGGAGTGGTACCATTTTATAGATGCAGAAAATGAAGCAGAGCCAGGTTAATTCATCAAAAGTCACGTAGCTAGTAGATGGTGAAGGCCTTATGCAACAGCTAAGCAGTCTAATTCTGAGTTTGTATTCTTAACTATAATTGCTAGGTAGTATTCACTAACTCTCAACACTTGACTTGTACCTACTAATTTATTTCTTTATCTTGAATCCTTTTCTTTTCTTTTACTGTTTATGAGGTAGGGTGTTACTCTGCAGCCCAGACTGGCCTTGAACTCTCAATCTTCCTACCTCTGTCTGTGAGTACTGGGGTTATAAGTCTACTTGGGTTATAAGAAAGGGAGCCCCCTGCCTGGCTCTCTTTCTCTTCTTACTTCCCTCTTCTTCATTTGTTTTAACTGGAATACTATCTCTAATAAATCATTGTCATTCAAACCTTTGTCTCAAGCCTGTTTCTAAAGAGAAACTCAAAATATATATTCCACACATAGTAAATTGTGCATGACTTTGCTGAATCCTTGACTTATTAGTGTATAGAGTATCTGTAACTGCTAAAAATGTTGCCAATAATCTGAAATGCATTTTGAGCTATTAAGTTATAATCACATTTTTAAAGAGCTAACTATAGTCTCAAAAGTGATTTTTTATCTTGTGTGTATGCCACTGTCCTAAAGACTTTATGTATAGCAATTCATTTATCCTTCCCTAAAAGAGCATGAGAAATCTACTATTTCACTTTTACAGTATCAATGGTTAAATTATGTGCCCAGCATCTCACAGGCACTCTTATTTCAATGATGGCAGTATTAGTAGTTATGACATTATCAGTGATAATATCACCCTTTCTTTTATTGCTTTGTCCACTGATATACCACAGCACTAACATAAATTGTTGCACTTTTTTCAGACTTTATTGAAGGCTTAGAATGAAGAGAATTACAATTTTGAGGAAAGGGGAACATGAAAGTTGAATGTTTCCTATACATTTCTCCAGAGTTCAAAGGAAAATTATCCCAAACACAAAGGGGTCAATTTTTACACCTCATTGTCCAGAATTCCTTATATTCATATTGTCTAAGATAAAGAGACCCACTTCAAAATTTCTCAGTATAATTTTCTATCTTCTTTTTAATAAGTCACATTTTTAATTTTACTTATGTAATTTTATTTTTATTGACAAATATACATCATTATGGGGAGCAATGTGATGCTTTGATACATATATAAATTGTGGATTGAACCAATCAGGCTAATAGACATATCCATCACCTCACATACTTATCATTTTTTTGTGGCAAGAACACTTAAAATTCCCTCCTAGCAATTATAAATGTACACTACATTATTAACTAAGGTCATATTGTTGCATAGTAGATTACTAGAACCTATTTCTCTTGTCTAACTGAAACTTACATTAATTTCCTCTTTCCCCTGGCTCCCTTCAGCCTCTGGTAACCACTATTCTACTCTCTACTTCTATGAGTTCTAATTTTTAGAGCCACATAATTTTTTAGTACACATGATTTTGTCATTTTTAGAGTTATTGTCCTAGCACCATCCCTATGAGCCTTGTGACTGTTTTCTCATTCTACTTTGGATCTCTACCTTAACTGAGTAGAACTTTCCTAAATTTACTGACTTGGTGATCTCTAACTCCTGTTTCTCTATTCCCTATGTTTCAGTGATTCTGAGAGACCCAGTCTATTGACCAAGAAACCCTACTGATCTTATAATTCTGTCCACTTCTAATGTTGTGACCTACACCTGGACCGAGCATGTATCTTGATTATTTCATCCCTATTAACTCCGTTTCATTCCTATGGACTTCTTCGCATTGTTTCCTAGATCTTCTTCCCCAGAGACACCAACCCTTGACACTGTCATCCTCTCCAATTTGGACTCCGTTTGATGGCTGCATTATTTTCTCCACTACCACACAGAAAACCCCATTCTTACAAAGTCATTCTCTTCTGAATTTACTTTTTTCCAGTTTTTTTTTAATGTGTGTGATTTCTCAAGAACAACTGGTTTAATCCTCTTTCAGGGATGCAGTGATGTGAGCAACAAGCACCATGCTGGTTCTGTTTCCTTCTGCATTTCAATTTTATCATATCAGGGAACCTTCCATCTCTCACCAAGACTACTTTTCAGAGAACAAAAGGAAAACCATTATGTGTGAGAACACTTACATCTTTTCAATTTTTCTGTTTCAAGACAGAAATTCTTTTCTGGAGATAAGAATTATTTGACTTGAAGTTGAGAAACCCTTTGATGGGATAATAGGGATAGAGATGGCATTTTTATTTCCATCTCTGAAGATCCAGGTGTTTTGTTTGCTGATCCCTGGGCTATTTCACTGCTTCTGAAGGACTAGAGACTCTATCTGTAAATAGAAGCCACTGGATACTTTTATGTTCAATGTGAAGAAATTTCTTCTTTGCACCAGAATTCCTTTAAAGCATCAGCTGTGAGAAGTGACCTTAAGGTATAGGTTCACAAAAGGTTGATTTCCTTCCCTTCTCAGGTCTTTTATTGTTTCAGCATTTTCTTCATTTTTTATTTTCATCATGACTTTATGGCTCAAGTGGTATAAGGGAGATTACAAATGTGTCTGGGAGGATAAGCATTTCTGTATATTTTTATATGTAAAAACTTTCTTATTGAAATATGTGAATAATTACTAGGAGATTTTTAAAAACTATAGATTTTTCATAGTTTTCTTTAAAGAATAGTTTTTGTAATCATTAATGACTTAATAAGATTTGACCTTGTCTACAGACTTGATTAAAATGGTTGTTTATCTGAGCATCATGAATTTTCTCCCAGCAGTCAATCCTTCACAGGTTTTGAATACCTAAGCTTTGTGAATTTTTTTTGTAGTATGAATACAGAACTGTCAAAATACCAGGAAAGAAGACAGTGATAACTAAATGATAAAAGCAGTCATTTGGTTTCTTTTTTTTATTTTCTTGTAGTACTGGGGATTGAACCCAGGACTGCCCATGCTAACTAAGTAAGTGCTCTGCCACTTGAGCCATGTCCCTAGGCCCAGTTATTTGATTTCTGTTTTCCATATTTGTTTGATAATGTTTTTCCAGTTCGAGTTTCTGGTTTATATCCTAGAGCAAAATATGCCTAAATATTACTATGCTTGGGAATCACCAGATTTACATGAATGTTATATTTAAAGTTAACATTTTTTCTCAAAAATTCAAAAGATGTAAAAAATCCAGTTAAAAAGTGAATTTGTAGCTTCCAGCCAAGATTCATATGTTGTTTTGAAATGTTTCATAAAATGATTTTAAAAAATTTCCTCTTTTAAGATAACTTTTTCTGAGACAAGTATTTTAAAAAATATTCAGGATAATAAAATATGAAATAGGTGTTTTAAATGGAGTTTATCATATGTTCATGTACTTTAATTTATAAACCAGAAGAAATTGAGGCAGAAATGAAGTTTTCTTAAGGGAATCTTTAAATTTTCATGTTCCATTTTAAAAATGGAAGCACAGAAGGTTCTTGTTGTAAGGAGGACCTGTTCTAGGATAATTTAGGTACTGTGATGCTTTCTTTAAGATACTGGCCCTCTTCTGTGATCAATAAAATATCATTGTTTTTTCAAGTCATCAAGCACATCCTGCTTTGTAATTTTGGCCCATGCATCAGGAATTTACCTGTGTCTGTAAATTTTTTCTGATATTTTTCTTCTAGCTTTGATCTGAAGTGTGAGACAAACCATTTCCAGTATGGCTGGGTGGATGAATCTGGAGTGATGCTCCATGTGGCATAATCACCTCCTGCCTGCCGATAGTTCTTATATGGGATTTTCCGGTCATTTCCCAAAAGCATGAAACGATCACTTGCGACTGAACTAGTACAGCAATCAATGACGAAGTGGTCTGTTCTATGTTTATGCCATCCATTGACAGCCTGAGGACGGTGAAATGGAACATTGTGGTCCCCTTCATGAGTAGGAATTGTGTTGGTACAAATCGCATTACATAAGGGACATTGTTTCCAGCATCCACAGAGATGTTCAGAAAGGATTTTCTCAATTTCTGGAACCATTTCATCTGTAGGCATACTTGAACAATTCTCTTCCACTTTCTTCATTGCAGGATCCAAAGCTGCACTCATGGCTTCTTTGAGAAACTCAATATCATTTATCTCTTGGTGTTCAATGCTTATCAGTCCTCTTCGTGGAAAGATCAAGTTGCTCCCCAGATGATCACAGAACAAATCCAACCACCCAGATGCAGTGCTGCTTTTATCTTTAGCTACTGCCGTGGACTCACGAATGGCAGAAAGGATGGCATTCCTGATGTCATCTAAACTTATTTTTAAAAAAGTCTTTACTTTTTCACCTCCTTCATTTGAACAGTATCTTTTAATATGGTTTTCAATGTAACTGCTAAAAAAAGATTTTGTATAATGAAGATATTGCCAATAGTTATCAAAGTTTTCTTCTTCTGCCAGAGAGATGAGAATGTGTTTTTCCAGGTTAGCCCTGTTTCCATTGAATGCAGGGCAGGTAGCTCGCATGTCCCCAGCAATTTTAATGACCATTTTTCCCCATATGGTAGCAGAGACAGCAGGGGTGAGCTTGTGCCACAGAAAATCAACAAATGTTTTGATGGAGGTGGCTCCTTGGCAAGAGATCTTAAAACTCATGAAGAAATCATCTTTCTTGCTTTCCAGATAGTTTACAGGATCATTTGCTCTCTTAAATGCCCTGTGCATCTCCTTAAAACTCTTACATGCTCTTTGGAATAAACACAAAGATAACTCAATGTTGTACTTGCTTGTAAACGTGTATCTTTCTTCAGTGGGTGCAGATTTCACTTCCTCATCTATTATTCTCAGGATTTCATGGAAATAACTTGTATTGTAATCACATTGTTGCCTACGCATATTGTTAATAGTTTCATTGAATCTTGAAATAATGCGGTCAGTTGTCATATTAATGGACTCTCTATCGCAGGCCTTTAATGTCCTTGTCATGAAGTTATATTTCTTACTCATTTTGACATGTTCATCATAATTAATTTGAAACTTTTCTCCAGATTTTCTCTTTAGTATGTCCACCATGTTTATCTCCTTTTTGAAAAACTCCCAAAGGATGCTTTCAGAGTCCACGTCAATATCAGGTTCTATGATTTGAGGGAGATCTGAGGATACGTCATAGACCCACTTTTTCCAAAGTTGGCTGAATTTCTCATGTAACTCTTCCTCACTCAGTTCTTTACCCTTTACAGTTAAAGCTAACTTTCGGCTCCTTTCTAGTAATTCATTTTCATAACCTGTCTTTTTCTTATCCAGTCTTTCTTGATTTTTCTTAAAATGAATAAGTTCTTTGGCTTTTCTTTTACTATCTGAAATAAGTGCCTCTTTAAGTATTACTAGCTTATTTTCAAAATTTGCTTTCCATTGAACCAGTATTTCATTATCTGGGTCTTCATTAAAATATTTTTCAAGTTCTTGTTTGATTGCTGTGTATTTTTCTGTAACTGAAGCCTCAACTATGCTTGTTTCGAGTGTCTGAATCTTTCCATTCTGAATCTGGTTGATCAGCTGGTTCTGCAAGTCTAACATGTGACTCCGCAACTCCCAGGTCCAGTGGTTGTACATGGTTTCCAGTTTGCTCATGGCCATGACCTCGCGGGTATTCCTGAAACTGAAAATAAAGTTCTCATTTACCAGGGCTCTCCACAAATCTTGAACTCTGAATTTTACATCTGATATTTTTATGATGCTTCCCCTGGATTCCTGTTCCGCAGTCAGAAGAATTCTTTTTTCAATTCCTGCACATTGTGGCTATAGCGAGGATTGGAGGGGCCATTGGGGGATTGCCATCCCAGAGGTGAGCAAAGTAGTAGATGTGAGTATTGACATCAAACTTAATGACATCACTGAAGTGAGTTACATTTGAGCACTCTTCTTGTTCAGCAGCTGTTACTGCCATTTCATCTAGTTTCTGCTCTAGGCACCTTTGTCCTTCCATAGTTTGGTCTTTGGCTGTAACTTCCCCAACATTCTGATGGACAAAGAGACAACTTGGGAAGATTTTTACTTGTTTCATCCTTAGAAAGGCTTGGACAGCTATTTGTAGTATGTCTTGCATCTCTGATGGATTCTCTCCAAAAATATTGATCAGAGTCAAATTTCCAAGCCCAATGACAAAGGTGGCCAGTTCATTGTCCCAATTCTGGATTTGTTGTTGATTTCTGGGGCCCGAAGTCTTCTGTGTCTACAACCAGCAGAAAGTCCAAAGCCAAGTTCCTCTGTGAATGACTCCTCCACCTTTAGGAGCTGCATGTAGGCCCCCCTAGTACACCTACCTGCACTAACTGTGAACTGCAGCCCAAAAAGGGCATTTAACAGGGTGGACTTCCCTGAGCTCTGCAGGCCAAGGATAGAGAGAACAAAGAGCCGTTTGTCTCCGAGTTTCTCAGAGATCTTGTCAAATACAGCTGCCACCCACTTTAGAGGGACGTATGAAGCATCCCCGTCCATCAGCTCAATGGGAACGCCAGATATCATCAGATCTGCAGCAATTTGGGGAAGGGAGAGAAAAACATTATCTCTTGTGGAAGAAGTTTCTTCCAGAGCTTCATAGATCTGGCCAACTTCTCTGAGAAGTTGCTCAATTCCCAAGGTACAATCATGAATCTCTGTGGAGATGGCTTCTATCTGATTTTGCCAGAGTTTCAGGGAGTTGCTGTTTTGTGCCTTTTGCTTTTCTGTTTGTACCTGTGACCACAAAGATCTTTGAAGCTCACGTAGTTTTTCCAAGTGTCCTGCAGTCAGATTGTCCAAAACACACTCAACCACTGTAAAGAAGTAGAGTTTGGTGTGGGTTTCTGAATGTTCTTGGAGAATTTCAAGGACAGATCGCATTAAATCATTGAGAGGAAAGGCTTTTTCCAACTGTTGACAGCCGTATTATTCGTTTATCTGTCTCAATTTCACTCTTGTGTTGTTCAATGCTCGATTTCCTTTTTCTCTTAGATGATAGAATTCTTTGTCCTTCTTACACCAAAGATGCCAGAGTTGTCCCTGAAGAGGTAGTAAGGTTTCCTTTATCTGAGATAATTTTGTTTCTCCCAAGAGGGCCATGATAGTCTGTGCCTTTTCTTTGGCTTCCTTGCAATCTTTCTGGTCTTCATCAATAAGGAATCCTTGTTTGTGAGCAATCTGGGAACAGTCCTCTAAGGTGAGAGCAGTATCAGAGAGCTCTAGCAAACATTTTATTGTCATTGTTAGCTCCTCTGTTAACTCCGCCTCATTTCTGTTCCTGATACCAATTCTCACTCTTCTACCAGAATTATTGGCCATAGTTTTTTCTTTGTCATCAAGCAAGAAGATCAAAGGTCTTGGCGACTGGCATAGGTCACGGACAATTTTTTGGTTTTCTTTATTGTCATCAGAAGCTGACATGAGGACCACAATGAGAGATGAGGCATCCTGCAAGAAGGTGAGTTGCCTCCTATGTTCCTTTGCATCTCCATGAAGATTGGTGAAGGTCACACAATTGTCAAATCTGTCCTCCTCTTCCCCCCCAGGACAGAACCAGCAGATTTCTACCACGCCTTCCATCAAGAGGCAGTCTTTGCTGCTTCCTCTGCAGTGTCGATGAAAAAACACATCATGTTTACGTATACTGAGAAGACAGTTCATGATCTGAGATTTGGAAGCAGAGAGGCCATTTCCAACTCTAATAAAGGACACAATGGGGGTAGAGACCTGACACATCTGCTGGTTTTTGTAGATGTTCTTCTTCCCTTGTGGTGATTTCTTTGTATGATGCCAACTTTTCCTTATTTGACTAAGAGACCAGAGAGAGAATTCAATTTTGAGATGTGCAGGGATTAGGCACCAACAGGGGGAGGGCAAATTGACAAATGGAAGTTTGGCCAAAATATATTGTCTGGCAAGATCATCTGCACAGTGAAAAATTGCCATCTGAATATCCATTGGGTGAATGTGGGGTCTGGACTTAGTGGCTGCAGATCAGTGAAACGTTCACTGTCTTCAAGTAAGTCTCATATGGATCAAAATCCTCATATTTCTCATTTGAAACACTTTGATAAACTTGGTGTTCAGAGTTTCCATTATCTTTGAAGACCAGGTGTCTCAGCCCATAATCCAGCATCAGTAGCTTCTGCAGGAAATAGAAGGGAAGCTCTTGTTCAGATTGGGCTGGTTGTTGTACACAGAGGTCTTATAGATCAGATGAAAGTTAGCTCTGGTCATTCTTTTTGGTAGTATTGTTCTAGACCTAGACGCTGGAGTAAGTCTAGGAAAGCTCCATTTTCTGTCACTTCCCATTTGTTATCTTCATCAGCATCGTGTTTATGGGTCTGCTTCTTTCCATGGAAGAGACTTTGCAATTGTTTTCTGACCTTGTCCATTTGCAAAGAAGAGATGGTGGCTTCATAATCTCCATCTATGAGTGATTTCAAGTCTTTCTCTAGATTTTCCCAGTCATGATCTGCTCCAGGTTTGGTAAGGACATGTACAACTTCTTTAGACAATGATTGTTCCATGTGCTGTCTCATTAATGCCATACGTTGTATTTTCTCTTTTGGAGAAATAGCTGTGATTCCAACTGTGGCTGTCAGACCTGTGAGCACCAGGAATGCCTGAGCTCTGTAGTCACAAATATTTTTGAGCTCATGATATTTGTTTAGGGCAGTTTGCATTTCATCCAATAGGAAGTTTAATTCATCACACCCCAGGAGATACTGAAAAGTACTATTTATAACTTGATATCCTGCACCAGCTGCAATGGAAAGTAGCAAGAGCTGTGTGTCTGATTGCTGCATTTCTTTGAGGTAATTCAAGAAGTAGCTGAGAGATATGCTGACCTCATAAGTTGCCTTTCTTTGAGCTTCTTCCACTATTTCTAGGGACTCAGATTTGACAGTCACTTCCATGAGATTATTTTGGATTTCTTTTAAGGTTATAATAA